GATATATCAATTTTAGGTTCCCGATTTCAGAATGGTACCTACTGATAAAATGCTTGTAGATCGCTTTAAAAGAAACAAAAAAGCTTTAAAAAATTTCTTGCATTTTTCTATGGAAATTTTACCATTTCAAAGATATATCAATTTTAGGTTCCCGATGTCAGAATGGTACCTACTGGTAAAATGCTCGTAGATCGCTTTAAAAGAAACAAGAAAGCTTTACAAAATTTCTTGCACTTTTCTATGGAAATTTTACCATTTCAAAGATATACAAATTTTAGGTTTCCGATTTCAGAATGGTACCTACTGGTAAAAAGTTTGTAGATCGCTGTAGAAGAAACAAGAAAGCTTTTAAAAATTTGTTACATTTTTCTACGGAAATTTGAGAATTTTAAAGATACAAATTTCCTGCTTGAGAACGATACTGCTTAAAAGCTCATAGATCGTTACAAAAGGTGTAAGAAAGCTTCAGCAAAGTTTTTTCACTTTTCTACGGAGATTTCACAATTTTGAAGATAAACATTTTAGGTTACCTACTGATCTGAGAATGGTAACAGGTAACAGCATATAAATTGTTGTAACAGGTGCAAGAAAGTCTTACATCACATTTTTCCAAAGTGAATATTTATGGCTGAAAGCGGGATTCTTTTGGATGTCGAGCATAACAATAAAACGAAGCAAACCACTGCCTGTACTTTTATTTTATTCGTTTAAAAAATATCATTTAAAAGACATTGTACTTACAATTCATTATACATTAGTTATTGGTAGATGGAAGCAGCATTCAGCAGTTTGTACTCGAATTAAGGCGTTTTGTTATTCGAAGGGTTTAATGACGAACTTACGGGAATTATGCAAATGATTCGAATTTCCATGTGAGAAGTGGAACCTTGCAGCGGATCGGAGTCGTTGACCGAAGTTTCGTCGTTGCCTCGTTCGCTATCTATGTGTTACGAGAAGGGTCGTTAACAGTAATTTCATACCTGTTTAAACTAAATCGCGGACGATAATACGACGGGAAAGGACCGATTACAAAGGCGTTTCACGACAAACAGCCGATAACAGATAAAAGGGCGTAGTTGGAGATTAAAAAACTTGGACAGGGGTGGTATCAGCGAACTCGACACAAAGGAGTACACGACGAACTTCACTATTTCTACCGGCAAAGGCTGTACTAATTTGAACATAGTAATTTTCACGTGAAGAAGTTTAAAAGAAACTTTATTAACTATACTTCAGAATCTACATTATGCAAATGTAGAACCTTAATAATTCATTTCTCGAAACGAAACTCAAAGAAAAATTTATTTACTTTGTTAAGAGCAGGTTCGCAATAAAAAGACACCCTGAATAAGCTTTTTGAAACTTTTTACTACTAAGTACTTAATTATAGACGACCAGATGTTCTATAAATGCATAAAATTTGCAGTGAAATTTCCTTACTTCTATTGATCCTCCAATTAAATTCTATAATTTATACTAGTCAGACTAAGAAAACGATTTAATTCACATGAGCTTCTTTAAAGACATTATATTAAAAATGTATATTGACGACTAATAAACTGTTTTCTCATGGATTTAATAATTATTTTTAGAAGTCTATGCTGTACAGTGCCCCGTTTTATTCTTCGCGAAACGATCGATCGGCTATACCTCGCGCGCAGGTACAACGACCGAATTAATAACGAACAGGCGCCTACGTAACGCCGCGCGGTAGGAAGCGACGCGTACGAAAATTTATTAGCAATTTTCTTGGTCCGCCGCGAACTTTCCTTATGGTGCAACCGCACGGAAGCCGGGCTGTATGTAGGTCGAGATTGAATTGAAATTCGCAGATTAACTGGGGAGGGCCCATTGATACCGTCAAGCTTTTAAAAGCCCCGTGTCGCCATAAAAATTGGATTTTTTAAACGCGTTCGTCGCCTGCGCGATGTTGCTTTCAGTGCCTTTAAACGGTCGCTCAATTTTGATTGGACTTTAATGTAGGAAAAGCTGATCGCTCACAGAAAAAAATCTGTATTTTGTATTATGTTCACGTAATGTAGTCGTCATTTTCATACGATGTAATAGTGTATAAAAAGTTAAATTTTTTACGTAAATACGAAACTTTTATTGTGGGAATGAATGTATTATCCGCCATCTTGTACGCCACGAGATGGTCTGCTGGTAGAAGATTATAAATTAGAGGGGGGAATCTTCAGTACCTTTGAACGAGTTCTTGATTTTAATTCTGCTGTATTATTGGAAGAAACAATTCCTACTTTTTAAATGAGTTAATCTGTCTCTTTGTTTATAAGGGATGAATTTATTAAATGGTAATGTTATGGGTAATTCTTAGTATTCACTTCCTTCTGGTGTAATTAGTAATTAGCAACAGATGTCAGATTCCATTTGTTTACCATTACCTTATTAAAAAATCTGAGTTTATATACAGGGCGTTAAAGAAAAAAGGGTCTAAGACATTAGACTTATTTCTATTGATTAGAGTAGGTATTCATCCAGTGGAGTAAAATATGTCTAATCAACATAGGTACTAAAATCAATCCTTTCGATGAAAAATACAAAAGTTTATTTTCATATTCAAGTTTGATATATCTTTCTTTCATTCCACTACATTTTTAGATATTCCTTCCGTACCTCCTATTGCTTGTTATCATACAACCTTGAACTAAAACTTTGAAACCAATTTTTCTGTTTGCATTCAATGTATGTTACTCACTTACTGATTTTAGGATCTGTGTTGATTAGATATTTTCTACTCCAACTGGTGCACTATTAGCCCCTAAAGTTTTAGATCCTTTATTCGAACATCCTGTATACTCCTCATAGCTATGAGTTTTATTTACATCATCTCCCAGCAATACCCACCAAAAATCGTTAACACAATCCCTGTCCTCTATTCCCACCGCTCGCAACATACACATCGACAGGTGCACAATCGTGTCAACAACGAACATTCCGCGATATCCATGAAAACGACCGTATAAAATCGGTTGTGGAAACATTCTCTCCCGTGGTCCCTTCGCCATCTGCGGCAATCTCACGGCTCGATATTTCGTAGCTTGCCTCGCTAGCAAGAAAAATGGACCAGTTTTCGAAAATCCCAGGTGAAATCGAAGCGTACTCGAATACACTGTGTGGCGTAACTAAAAAATCACCGGAAAGTTTTCAATTCTTACGTATTATGATTAAAATAAAATCCATAAAAGGATAGATTATATTCCCTAGAAAAAAATGGATCGTTTTTATTTTAACAATATACAAGGATTGCAAATTTTAGGGTAGTTTTATAGTTATGCCGCTCAGTGTATACAGGGTGTAACCAAAATATTGGAGGACCCGGAAATGGGAGACTCTTGAGGTCATTTGAAACAAGTTTTTCCTTAACAAAAATCGTTCTCCGAGACTTTGTTAACGAGTTATTAACGAAAAACCCCGACCAATCAGGGCGCGCATCTGCCAGCCAAGTTCCCGCGATAACATTGGCTAAGCGCTGCGATTGATAGTCATCGTTACCACGGGAACTCGCGCTCCGATTGGTCGGGGTTTTTCGTTAATAACTCGTAAACAAAACCTCGGAGAACATTTTTCCTAAGGAAAAACTTGTTTCAAATCGCCTCACGAGTCTCCAATTTCCAGAACACACAGTTTCCGAAACATGAATAAAATCGCGTAGCAAAATTAACCTAAAAATTTCCTTTAAAATCGACCGGACATCTCTTTTCAGGGGCTCCCCGATCGTTTCACCCCTCCTGGTCCTCCCTTCTTCCTCTCTGTCTCCCGGACCACGCTCTTGTACACCTTTTTCGTACCGACATTTTTTTTTTTTATGTCGTACTTTAGCCATCAAAGCTTTGTCGGCGCGTTGGCCGGAACAACGAGCAGATTCGAAATTAGCACGGCCCGATGGAGGAGAGGGCAGGTCTCTCCCAGCGTTTTCCTTCCTGGAGCAGTCAGTCGAATCGTACCTTTTCCCCTTTCTCCGTCGCAGTCTTCCTTGAGGGCCTTTGCACTCCTCGGCCACGTCATTACCACGTTAAACGTTCTCCCCTTATCAGAGGGATTGGGGGTGGGGATGTAGAGAGGCTATCGATCTCTCTTGTTCCCCTGGTCCGCAAGCGAAGCCACGCGACGACGACCCGTTCTCTCTCCAGCCGAACGACCCGAGGGTCTCGACGCCGACGATGTATTTCTTACGACAGGCGGAAGAAGACCGCTTTGAGATATATATATATGATGCCCTTTTGTTTTTTCTCTCCACCCGGTAAATCGCTATCTGCGCGGCGACGGGCATTGTTCGATCGCCGACGCAGATACCCAACGCTTTCCCATCCCCTTCTCGGGGGGCTTCCGCGTAGACAGAAGGGGGTGGGGAAAACGCGCGGTTCGGTGACTTCGTAAAAATATATCGGTGTCGTTCACTCGACGCGGACAGGCGATCCGTTGGTCTTCTGGTAGCTCGTTAGGACGTTGAACGTTATAGTTTTTATGCTTGGGAGTGGATCGAGATTGGATACGTTTGTTTGAGTCTCTGTTGTGGATAATATAATTATTCGCAGGTTGTCTTGAATAATCGTTACTTTTATTATTGATCTACTAGTAATTATTAGGGGTGGGTTGGAACCTAATTTTTATATTCTCGAAACTCGAGTCAGTGTGTGATTTTGAAACCCTTGAAACTTGAAGCGCTGATTTTGTTTTGTAAGAAGAATATTTTGTTTTTTGAACTGGTCTCTAGAACATTTTTGCATAAATGTTTATTGAGTATAGTTAAATAAAATAGAAACAAAAACTTAATAATATGTATTCACTTATCCTTTTTAGCACTAACACTCGATAGTTTAGCAGTTTCTACTTTTTAATACCACTAGATAATAGTATAATTCGTAATTGAAAAACAACGTCTTGTCTATTTAATCTTGTAAACTGTTCAAAGTTTTTCACTATGTATTATTCGACTAAAATAATGCCCAACTCTAATGCACAGTGTTTCTTCGTTACAGGAACGCTGCTCGGGGCTGGAGATGCGATTATATAGGGTGAGTAATTTAAATCGATCGCCTCTAATATCTTCGAAACCATTAATGTTACCGAAATGTATTTCAGATAAAAGTTGAATGGTTTCGAAGGAGAAGTTATATGTGTTATTTTTTTGTAGCTGGATGCATAGAGGATATATGAAGATAAATTTATTTATTTAAACTATATATTTTCATAATGCACATAGTTATTTACGTCGCATTATGATCGAAATATGTATAACAGCGATACATTCTATTCCACTTTCTTTTCCAATGTTCCTAGGAAGAAAAGCAACAGGATTTGCTTGAATACTTAATAAAAGATCAGATGTATCGTTACAGGAACTTGAAACCGTTTTTCCAGGAAATCCTGTTCATTTCTTTCTCTTATTTTACTCCTTTTAGTCTCGACGGTTACCGTCGCCCGTTCACTTTACACCCAAGAATATTGACAATCGCATTCTCCTCCGCGCGGCAGTCTCTGCATTTCAAGTTGGAAATCCCCCGTCGAAGGAAAGCTTAAACGCGCATAGGTATCGTGTACCCGTCGCGTTTTCATTCCGCGACGGAATTTCGTGGACTCAGATATTCCTTCTTCGAGGAGGCTCACGGCTCAAAGGAATTGAAGGCGGTCCCCGGTCAATCTGAAACTTTAATGAGTTTTTATCGAAGCGCGAAGGAGAACCTCGGATCTCCCAGGATATAAAATGTCCGTACAAGATACGATCTTCTTAACCAGATGAATTTATCGTATCCCTCTGGAAACTTATTAGACGAGTTGGCTCGCGAGCGTTCTTTCTCCCTGAATGATTTATCCCTCGTTAATCCCCGTGAATTCCGAGCGGACGGAACTTTGTTAGAAAGATAGCGAATCTATCTTCATCTTGAAAGGAATAACATACTTTGCGGTAGTATGGTTTCCCACTCTATCAAATATTTCACCGACAGTGCTCCGAAAATGTAACAGAAGACTAATATTGTATCTGAAGTAAGTCACACTATATACTTTTTCTTGACCATACCGTGGTTCAGTGGGTAAAACTTTAGATTAAAGAATGAAGCTTCGCTGTATCCTTCTGGTATATTGCAGAAGTTTTGAAGCACTGTTTTCAAGCATAAAATAAGTTTAAACTACAGTTATAAAATAAACTTGCAAATTAAATCGAAAATTAGTTCCAAGATCGTTCACATATACTCTTAAGATAGATGAAGAATAGTAATCAGACATATAAAATTTCCATCTTCAATCCTGGCAATTTTTATTGACACCAAAACTACCACGGAATAACTTACAGCTATGACACTTATAGATGCACGAGAAAATATGTACATACGCTGTGTAGCGTAACTATAAAACCACCTGAAAATTTTCAATTCTTATGTATGTATTGTGGTTGAGATAAAAATGAACCAAGTATGCTATGTTTGAAATCCTGTTGAAGAAGAATGTTTTTCCAGAAAAGGATGGGAAAAAAGTGGTTCGTTTTTATTATAACCACACCAAGAAGATAAGGATTGAACATTTTAGGGTAGTTTTATAGTTCTGCCACGCAGTGTATTAATACATCTAATAATAATTATCTAAATAATAATTCTTTTAAAATTCTATTAAACAATTATAATATTCATTAATAAATTATAAAATTTATTCATTTACAGACAGCACTGAGACTTATTAACACTTTGATGTCGGATGACGTAGTAGTACGTCTTTTTTAAATAAGAACTAGAATAGCAAAAAATCGGGAAAAATCGCTTTTCTCATATATATATAAACATTGACAAATAAAAGTTAGATAGTAATTTCTAAATATTTCTCGAACAGCTAAAGTTGTATATTTACAAACACAAAAACCCTTTCGCCAGCAAAGTGTTAAAAATCTCAGAAAATACAATGTCGTCAATCGATGTAATTCTTCTAAAAAATTACAAACCAGTCATTTAACTGCTTTAACAAGTCTAGTGTTACAGACGTCCGACAAATCCATCGCTTAACCCCTTGCCTTATAACATCGAATCAGACTCATGGTGACAGTATCAAAATGGATTCAACCTAAATATTATTCCTTTTCTTTGAGTCAATATAAAAACTAGTTTGCTGATATTAATATTTAACCTATAGAGTAAATGTACAACTGCGCTTAGTACAAGAATTCCTTTTAATTCCGGGGAACTATGAACAATAAAATAAATCTAGAAACTGCAGACATCAAGAAAATCATAGGCCAAGGGGTTAATTTTACAATAATTCCAACTGTATCTACAACGCCACCGATGTTCCCCAAGGCCAAAAAAAAAACGGTGTCCCAGGATCCTCCGCGTCATTCGGGTGTCCGTCCCGTTGAATTCGATCTCACGTTCGGCCGGCTTCCGGTGTTCACGTAAATCGTCACGTCTGCTTGAACGTCTTCGAACGCAACCAGACGACGAGAAAACGTCCCGTCTGCGACACGCACACCGGGGGGGTATCGTCGATGCACGAAGGAAGTCCCTTACGTGCGTGGATTGCATACGCGATCGAGCTGAGACCGTCTAAACGAAGAACAGAGAGGACGAGTGAGAGTGGACGCCCGTAAGCCGGGGCGAGAATCGATGCCTCTGCTTCTTGTTTCTTTTTTCTCTCTTGTTTTCTTTCTTTACTTTTTTTTTTTCCAAAAGCTGTCGCTCGTTGTTGTCTACTGAATCGTAATGTTGGAAAAGTTAAGCGTTTCTGCCCCGCCCCCGGACGCTTCCCTCGTTTTGCTTCTATTCACACACAGACACATTCACACGGGATTGTCCGCGACACATCCTGAAGTTCTCTTTGTCACGGTTACAGGGGTGGAGAAACGCATGCTCGGCTGCTTGTAATCGCGTTGTCGAGCTTTCGTGTCGATTTTTCGGCTTTCAAACGGGAAACACACGGAGGCTGGGGATAGGTCAGTGAAGCGGCAGAATGCGTCTTCCCTTTTGGTGGAAAACAGGGAA